AGTCGGCGAGTAGTTCTCACACGTGTAACATTATATTATTTACATACGTTTATAAAATGGCTCCGCAAATTAAATATACGAAAGTGAGTATTTAATATTTTTTTTACAATAAACAAAGTTAAGTAAAATAATTTTAAAATAGTTTAAATTTATTTATTCTGATCAATTTTATTTATGTTTAGGTTTATTCTTGTTTTGTGTATTAAAATATTTCACAAAAAGAATATTCTATTATACATTACTGTGATTATGTGATCTAATTTGACAAATTTTTTGGAGTATTATTCTCGTTTTAATTTTGTGTTTCCTATGTGGTTCTATTAAACAATATTGACCTTGACCTTCTAGACCATAATTTAAGTTTGCCACACATGAACAAAATTGTTGAATTTAGAAAACGTACACTACTTACGATATTATTATGATTGTTAATTTATTCCAGACATATATTATAAAAACAATTCTCTTTAAAATGGTTATCTCTCAGAATATTCTCGAAAGTACCAATGAATATTTAATTATTTTCGGCACTTAAAAATAAAAGATAATGTTATCCCGGATCAGCAAGAACCTAATAGTCTTTAATTTCAGTAGTTTATTTAAACACTATTTTATTTTTTGCTATTCTTTTTATAGTAGTATAATATCATGCGAGTTTGTTTCATGTATTCGTAAATCACGATAGTTAATTAGAAATATAATAAAATATGTGTGCACTAAAATTTTCAGCAAATATGTATAACTAATCATGTAAAATAATAAAAGTACTGAAGTAGTTCTTATATAAGATAGACAAAATGAAATCATATTACATTAGTTAAAAATACGCTTGGAAGTAGTGACCAAAAAATAAAACAATGTTTTGACTATTATCAGCGTTTAGACAAAAGTATTAAGAAGAAGCTAAACCCGCACTATATTGTTACAAATATGATTAGATCTAAAGAAAAAAAAGACAACGACTAGATAAAGATTGAAATTGGTCCTCTTCAATTTGATACTTAAGACATTAAAATAAGAATACATAGTAAATTTTCGTTATAAGGGTCCATATTCTTAGCAGAGAACATAAAAGTTATAGTAACGTCTTAATAAAAGACTACGTTTTCAAATAATGCTGGAAATGCTTAGCATTTTCAGCAATATTTCTTTTTCTTAATGTTACACTGTGCACCCAAAAAGTTTTTTTGTCGATATATCTAGTCTAAAAATAACTTAATTAAGAGGTATTCCTATTTTAATATCCAGAGACTGCCAAGGCAATTCAACTAGTAAATCGTCTATAGTAGTTTACTTGCTATAATATGCTATCAAAACCATAGTACCTTTAAAATTGTCAACCCTAATAAGAAATCGCTTTAATTCTGTGTTTTTCAATATAATATATTAACAATTGCAATATTTCGTTTGAATTATCTATTTCAAGGTCTGAGTGATAAAAAAAATTGAGACATTACAGTTCAAGTAATTTAATAACAGAAATAGTAACATTATGAGGGATATATGTTTTTAATTATCAAGTAGCTTTTCCTTTTATTATAATTTATCATATGAAATTAACATTATTTAAACTTAGTTTTATGAATGAAACATTGAAAACATTCCGTATTTTGTGTGAAGATGTGACCTTGTGGCAAGATTGACACAAGATGAGATGAGATTAGATTTGTAGTAAACTTCTTTAGAAACAAACATCCATCGAAATATTTGCATTAAAATAAATGGTGTGACTTGATGACTATAATTGGTTTATTTTGCAAAAATTTGGTTATAAAACAATATGTATTTAAACCATTATTATGTTTTTATGTTACAATATATGGAGTCATTCTGTGTGTGGTTTTTCTTCACGATTGCCATTCAAACACTGTTTTTGTTTATATTATTAATAAAGAGGATCCTTTTTATCTTTTTTTTACTTCAGTTACTTTATTTTATATATTCATAACGATAACTGCCTATCTGGTTATTTTTGTGAGCAGTTTTGGGAAAAGTTAACAGTGAACTAGTCTCGATGGAAAAAAGTAAAACGCGCTAAACAACCTGTTTGGTTTGAGTTATAGTAGAGTAAAATAAATCTTTTTATCATTTCTTATAGACAAATTAAAACAAGAAATCATTCTGTCATTATTTGTTCATTCCTTATTAGCGCTTTTTTAAATACACTTTACTACCAATTGAATGAAGTGAATAAAATGGAATGAACGGTGAATGTACCTATGGATCAACCAATCAAACCTTCAAGGGTTATTCAAGTCCATACAAAATGTAATCAAAGCTATCGAACGATTTTATTATCTATATACATAAAAATGAATTGCTGTTCCTTAGTCTCACTAAAACTCGAGAACTTCTGAACGGATTTATCTTATCTTAGTCTTGAAATGTTCGTGGAGGTTCAGGAAAGGTTTAAAAGCTGAAAAAAATTGATTTATTTCTGGGAAAACCCTATAAACAGCCCTTTTCTATTTCCTATACTAACTTTTTTTGACATTAGATTTGACAACTAACTAATATGTCAATCATTCTGTTCGATTAAAACAGGAAAAATTTTATAAATGCCAATACATGGTTATTTAAGACGGAATAGAGTTCGCCCGGCCAGATATACATATATTACTAATGACGAAATTAACGCGGACGATGTCGCGGGCAAAAACTAGTGAGTTATAATTTCTATATACTACAAAAAAAAGAGAAGTAATTTTATTAAAACACTATATCAATAAATCTTTTAGGATCGCAGGTTATATAATTTTTCAGGAAAACTATCCCATTTCATTGAAAAAAATCGTGTTTACAATCGTAACATAAGAATTTAAATAAATTGGATATATTATGGGAAACTAAGTTGATGTTCATGGGAGGCGGTAACTATCTTCATAATGTAGGTCGTTTGCTTGTTTGCCCACTTTAGTAAAAAAAAAAACAAATACATAATAATTATAATCCATAAATATGAGAATCTTGTTAAAACGGACAACAATAATTTGGGTTAGAATTATAATATATTAAAAGGCGTTGTCACAAAAATATCATTTCAAAAAGAAACTTAGAGGTAAATGCTAATTAGCAATGGATCCCAATTTTTAAATATAAAGGAGTAAATGTTATTATTTATATTTTTATTCATCCGTGGAGATAACGACGAAGTTTATTAAATAGCGTGACTTAGTAATTTTGCTAATGTACCGTTCTGATAAAAGGGTATTAGGTTCAAAGAAAGTAGTAACCATATAATTTACATTTATTTAAGTAAAAATCTAAATAAATACTGTCAAGGGAAGTACAAGGCGTCTTTCATAAAAAGATGTAAACAGTTTAGTGATTCACTTTCAAATGTGATAAGTCACTGAAGTTAACAACCTATATTCCTACCAACCATCATTCTGAGAACAATCTGTAGGAATAATTTGTTCCATGGAAAATATATATGCTAATAATTGCAGTGTGTTTGGTAGTTTACCTCGATTACCTTGGCTGTATTATAATAACATTGGTTAACATTAATAACCTGATGTCACTAACAGTAAACTATTATTAAAAAAATATATATGTTTCATTCCTATAGTTATACGAATGTGTTTAGAAATAAATATATAAATCATTCAATTTCTTTTACGATAATTTAAGAAATTTGTAGATTATATTTTAATGAGTTCACTACTGTATCTTTTTTCCGCCTTATAAAATTAAGTTTTTCTGAGAGATAATAGTTATCTTACGTCTTACGTCACATTTATGTATTACCGATTGTCTTTGTAGTATTTACTTAAGATGTTAAGTAAATACAACTATTGGGCCACTAAGTCCTTTGTTTAAGAGAAAGCTATCCAACTGTTTTCCTGTTTAAAAATAACAAAATATTTTAATGCTATACCTACATGTAATAAATATCATAAAATATAACAACTTAATCAAATAAATATGTCCTTCTAATAGTTTTTGTACCATTACTGTTGGCCTTTATTAATTAATCATTTATTTATATAAACTTTTGACACAATTAAAACATCTCCATACAAGAAATAGGATTATTGTATAATGAAAAAAATAAAAAGATTTATTTAGGTGTTGACAAGAAAATTAAAGATTTCGATAAATATTTAACAAAAAATGTCTTTGGTTAATCAAACGATGATGACAAGTTAAGTCTTTTTTACATCAGTTTCTACCACGTTCATATTATGTGATGTCATGAAGGTGATAATACTTTATTTATACATAAAAAACATATATTTCAAAGAAGAATAATTGTTATTATTAAATGTGTTATAATGCCACGATCATGTTGGATTCATGCAGCGATTTGATTGCAGGTTTAGTTAAGTTTTATTTTGACGGATAGTTTTATAAGAAGTAAAAGTCTTCATTTATGATTATAATAAATAAAACATTATATTAATGGAACTTGTATTTTTTCAATATAATTGTTTATCTCATGATAAATTACGGTAAAACCAGCAATTTATGATAATTTATGAATTTCTATTAGATATGAGAAAAATCGTGATAAAAAAGTTGTTTGTTAAAATTATAAAGGCTGTTCGTGAAATAAAAAAAAAAATATTTTGCTGAAATTGATTAAACAACTTGGAAGTCCTCACTGGGCTTATTTAAAAGTTTTTCAAACTTTCCGCATAGTATGTTGAAATACATCTCATAAAAAATCACAGCCTTATTCTTGTTTACGCTTTGTTCAATATGAACTCAGGTTAAGTTTTTTAATTTCATATTCACTATAATTTAAAAACGTATTTCCACGTGTATATGTTATATCTAGTTGATTTAAAATTCAAATATATAATTATACATCATCTACGTATTAATTAAATTCATTAAATTTTTTCCTTGTGCAATCATAACTTGTCTTGATTTCCTTAAGGAATTAAATATCAATAAAAAAGAAAAAATATAATTTTAATCAACTTGACAGATTTTTATCAACAATTCCTGGGTAGATTCGGTCAGTGGAAAGACATTCCAAACTATTAATCCCCATGATGGATCAGTCAATGCCAAGGTTGCTGAAGGTGATAAGTTAAGTATCAAAATTTATTCAAATTTCTTATTTCATATAACATTTCAATTATTTAAATGAGTCAAATAACGATAATAAAAAAAAAGATTTAATATAACCTTTTTCTTGTTGAACGAGGAATGTAATTTATTTAATATCAAAAATAATATACATAATTTAATTAATTGAATTAATTTACAGGCAGATGTCGACGCAGCGGTTAGAGCAGCTAAAGATGCATTCCATCGTAACTCTGAGTGGCGTCTTATGGATGCATCGGAAAGGGCGAGGCTTTTGAACAAATGGGCTGATCTCGTGAATCGGGATCTAGATTACCTCATAGAATTGGAAACATTAGATAACGGTATCGTGGTACAGACTAATCGAAGATTTATGTCCGGGGCCGTTAATGCTATACGTTACAACGCGAGTTGGGCTGATAAGATTCAAGGAAGTACGATACCCGTGGGTAAGTTACAGTCCGATAAAGTTACTGATAGATTTATATTGAAAAACAATATTGCAATTTTTTTTGTGATTAGTCAGAACTATGAAATAAAGTTAATATTATTTCTTCTGTGTATTATTTTCAGATGGTGAAGCGTTTTCCTACACACTGAAGCAACCAGTTGGTGTATCTGCTATAATCATACCATGGAATGCGCCGGTCTTGTTTTTCACCAGTAAAGTATCGGCGGCTTTAGCTGCAGGTAAATGTGAAGTTGTTTTAACTTCGTCTTAGTCTCTCAATTCACACCATTTTATAATTAACATTGTATTCATAATAAGTTCTATTAGAAGGAAGGCTCATCCATAATCATAAGTTATACTTGATTAAAGATAATGTAAATAGCTAGAGTAATAGAAGTAAAAAGCATATATTATATTTCCGTTTTTCTCTTTCTAGGCTGTACTGTAGTAGTGAAACCGGCCGAACAAACTCCTTTAACAGCGCTGGCGCTGGCTTCTCTAGTCGCGGAGGCTGGGATTCCACCGGGAGTTGTGAACGTAGTGCCTGGCTTTGGAGAAACGGCGGGAGCGGCTCTAACACATCACCCTGACGTCGCACATATATCGTTCACGGGATCTTTACAGGTAATCATAACTGTAGAAAAAAATAACTTGATCGATACCCTAAAAGAGACAATTATTCTTTTATGGCATTTGCTGTTATTGAGAAATTTTCGATTATTATTAATATTTGTTTCGAATACATTCTTTAATTTGTAGGTGGGTAAGATGATCCAACAGGCAGCAGGCGTCAACAATCTCAAGCGTGTCCAACTTGAGCTTGGCGGGAAAAGTCCTCTCGTTGTTATGAACGATGCAGACTGTAAGTATTTTAAAATATTTATATGCCTATCTCTATTACAATACCCATATGTGTAAGTGTATTTTACTCTGAAATTTTAAATTTGAACAAGTCTTGTGTTTTCTTTTTTTCTAAATTCCACCTTAATATTCTTATACTAGATGTATTTTATATATATTTAATTTATCTCAAATAACCATTTATTTGAAAATCTATTACTATTGTAGGAGCTATTCAAAATGCACAACATTAGTTTCTGAACTTAAATAGTTCAAGTATTGGTTCAAAATTATTTTTTACTATTGAAATTTTTAAAATTTCTATAATCTTAGGTATAATTGCCAAGCTCATGTAATTAATTAATTTTTCATTTAAAGTGGATGCTGCGGTACAATTTGCTGCTCTCGGGGTTTTTACAAATCAAGGACAAATGTGTATAGCTGCTTCCCGTCTTTTTGTGCAATCAGGAATTTACGACGAATTCGTTAAAAGAGCATCCGAATTCGCAAAGACCCTTGTTGTTGGTAAACCAACAGACCTTAAGACACAGCATGGTCCTCAGGTATATGTAACATCATAACGAATTAATTAACTAACAGTTTATTTATATAATTAATAATAAGTGTTATTGATCCGTCATATTTAGAATAATAAACAGAAACTCATTGCTGTCGGCACAAAACTGAGAAATGTAATACTCGTATTTACGAATCGAGCATATATCAATGTAAATATCTTTCCTTCTAGATTGACGAAAACTTGATGAATAGAGTGTTAGGTTACATCGAAAAAGGAGTGTCTGAAGGCGCAAAGCTTTTGGCTGGCGGGAAAAGAATTGGAAAAACTGGTTATTATGTAGAACCTACAGTTTTCTCTGATGTCACAGATGATATGACCATCGCTGTAGAAGAGGTGAGGAATAATTTATGAATACTTTCTATTATTCTGAATATAAAATATCTCTATTAAATTTTCAATATCTTGCATATGCCATTATTTAATACAAATATAATGGAAAAGCCGTCAATTTCCTGCATGTTTTTTTAAAACTTGAGAGCTATTTATTGATTTAAAATGTTGTAGTAATAAAGTTTTTAAACACTTTTTTTATCTCTCATACTTAGACAAAAGAAGTGAGTGAATATAATATTTTAATCAATATCTCTGTCTATTTTTTTATGTAATATTGTTCTAGATTTTCGGTCCGGTACAAAACATCTTAAAGTTCGAAACTTTCGAAGAAGTTATTGAACGTGCTAACGCTACCAACTATGGTTTGGCGGCCGGAATATTTACAAGCTCTATCGAAACTGCTTTACAATTTAGCAAACATATTGAAGCAGGAATGGTTTGGTGAGTAAGATGTGAAGTTTATTTTTATTCGTACTAGGAAAAAAAGTATTACCTAAAAAAATTAAAACGCTTCCACTGATACGTGTTCTGCTTATAATTTACGTGATTGAAATGTTTAAGTAACTTTTATTATAATAATTTTATATAATATTATTTTTTCCGACAGGGTGAACACTTATTTACATTTTGGAAATCAGCTACCATTCGGTGGTTTCAAAGATTCCGGAATTGGCAGAGAAAAGTAAGCTCGTTTATTAATTTATTCTAATTTAATGTTTTATATTCTAAATAGTCAGTTGTAATGGTCAAAGAAATATACTTCTAATATGAAATAGCATTTACCGAAGTTAAGCTCTAGCTGTGTAGTTTGAACATGTGTTATTTTCGGCAACAAATGCTTTAATAAGTTTTGCTTGCGTATAATTCATTTCACACTTGGTCAGACTCTTATATAGTTGTTAGAGATGATAGTATGTTTGAGATGAAAGCATATCTGCAGGATGATAGTTTGCATTTGAAACTATCAGACAAGAAGCAAAGAGATGTTAAGCTCTTTGTGTCTCTACGTATCACGTTAAAGTGCCTGTGCAAAACTTGCCCATCATGTACACTATTATCAACATAAACATAATAACTTTATAATATAAAAAAACATTATTTGAATTACATAATCACGTAACTTTTTTATTAATTAATTCATCAATCAAGATAAAAATGGATTGTATACGTAAAGTTTTAAGAAGCACTTTAAATAAAAGGATTAGTACCCTCACCCACTTTCTAAAACTTTGTTTTTGTCTAAATCTTTAACAATCCTTTTACCACAATTTTGCAGCTTTAGACTAGACATAGATTGTTTCAACTTATTCATTCACAAAACTAAGTCAATACGAGTACTATTATGTGTAAAGATTTATTAATGAAAATTCTAAAATTATTCAATTTTAGTTTAACGATGCTGAGCTGTGATAAGGGTTTTTACTGTATACTTTTTGCCATAATTTTGTGAAATGCTTGTTTAATTAATATGAAAATGGTTTTAGTTCTTTCTGCTTTGAAATATAAATAATTATCTTGTTGCAGTGGACCTAATGGAGTGGAATCTTACTTGGAACTCAAAACAGTAACAATGAAACTTCCCAAGAAGTTGTAATAAAATCTGTTGACACGAAACATTTAATTAAGCGCTACACTATTATATATAGAAAATTATCACAATTTATTTTTATATAATACATATTATATTTCGGATGTTTTTATAATTAAACTGAAATATCTGTATTTCGTCGTTTTTTTTTGTTTCATTCATCGATTTTTTATTTGTTGTTTGTACCATTAAAATATCGTTCCTTAACTATTAGCAATAAACGAAACTAAAGCTACATTTTCTAATATGTACAAAGTATAATGAATATTTTAGGGGGAGAAACTTGTCTTTTTATTATTATTGCTTCAAAACTAAGCCTTTCGAAAACAAGAAATTGTGTCATGAAACTAGAGGTTCATGTCGGTTATTTGATCCGACGTTGATAATAATAATTAACGACTAATTAGAAACATGATTTATTTGATATGTAAATAAAACAATATTTTTTATGTAAGGATGACGAAATCAAATAAATGTTCTTATTGTATCAAAATACCGCAAGAGAAGAAAGTTTGGTCTCATAATATAATATAGTATTATAGTGTGTTTCTACACCATCAATCACTTAACTGTCACACTTGTTAACAGTCTTTGTTATACTTACTCATGGTTGTTGGTATTCACATACATCATGTATTAATTGCTTTTTTTTAAGTACATATTTGATTTATTAAAATTTAAGGCCCTTAATTTTTTGTACTTCCATAGTAGATTAAAGTCTATCGATCTTTTATCATTAACTCTTTTTATTACCTAATAAATAAATTCTATTTCAAACTAGCCTACTCATAAACAAGATACCTACATGTAATTCTGTACGGTTTTTTGGTAAGATATTAGTAGGCTGGCATTTTAGAAGTTTTTTTGCTTTTCATAAGTGTTTTTATATTTGAATACGTAAATTTTCAAACCAGTAGCCTTCGTTTAAGGTGAATATCCTTTACAGACATGTTAAGTATTGATATTTATGTGAACATGATTGTAAACGAGCTTAAGACTAAACGTGTAATAAATGTAATGTGAAAGACATTTTCTCCAATTTATAACTGAATATACATCATATCTACATATTTGCGTCTGTTGTTTTAAATGAACATGTATTTTTAAACTGAATTCTAGTTCCTTTACTGCTATTTCATTCTAAGTGAACAGCGTTTTTGAAGCCACAGAAAATAAATCCCTAAAATACGAAGAGGAAAATTTTAAATCAAATTTTATATATAAAATCGAGCACCAATTACAACAGAAAAAGAAACCGATTCCATTCCAATGAACTGTTACATATATGTATGGGTATAAAGTAAATTTTCCTATGATAATAGTTAATTTATTATTTATGTGATAAAATTTCGTTATCCTGTAATTTACCCATTAACTTTAGAAACAATAAATAACAAAGAATTCATCGTTGAGAGTGAAATGATTCTTCGCCACACTTGATTAGAAGTAATGCTATTTATGATTATATGTATAAATCAATTTCGATTGTATGTATTAATAATAACGTTATATTATTCTTACAAGTATTGAAATCGGCACTTTTAAAATTGTTTGTGGTCTTTTCGTTGGCTCCAGATGAATGGCGGCACAAGCGTTCGACAAAAGTAATTAGTGGTTGGATAGTGAAAGATTAAGTATCTCAATACTACCCTAGTACTAACACAGTAGTCACAGTTTTGACACTGTGAGTAGAAGCAAGATAGTATTTTATAAAGTGATACAATGAAACGGGGTAGTGTCAAAGGATTATTTATATATACAAAGATACTACCTGGTTTTTGAATGTCAAAGCAGTTACTGAACTCTATTAAGTTTCATGAGGAAAAACTTAATGAATTTTAGAAGTAAATATTTTGGAGTGTTTTGTTAGTAAGTCGTGAAATAACAAATGAATCAACTAACAGAGGCTAAGAGAGTAATTGTTTCTTACAAAAAATAATAATTATTACACTTTTGATATTGTTTTCAATAAAAGAGTATATATGTTAAATTATTAAACCTTATTCACAATAACAAAGTCTAAAACATTTTGGTGGTAGACATCCCTTAAACGACATACACTTATCATCAAATATTAAAGATTTCATGAATATTAATACGTGGATGGGAAGTTACGCATTTTCATTAAGGTTTTGCTCGAGTCTGAAATCTGTTTTACTGCTATGAATATTTATTTCTCTACTTTTCAGTGATGGTCTGGTCAAAATTCAAGAAAAATGTATAATTGTTTTTATAGAAACGGGCTCGTTGAGAAAATGTTAAGTAATGAAAATAATCTTTTATACCATTCAGGGCTAAAGAAACAATAATATATCTTTTTAATTTATGATAAATTTAGTAATATAAAGTCAATACATATTTCTCTATTGTACTTATATATAGTGAATGTGTGTTTTTTTTAATATATACTTATGTATATGCATATAAGTATATAAACAGCTCTAAAATCTTTCTATCAGATTGAAAAAATTTAAAACCAAGTATGAAAGTGGTGAATAAATTCACTAATAGTTATCCAATTATTTCAAATAAAACTTTATACGTATTACAGTTAATATCTGTATTATATAACTAAAATTACTTTTTATATCTTATTAAAACGTTGACTGAGGTCGTTGACACTAGTCTGTAAGAAATTTCTTATACATATTTTTTTAATGATGTGGTTAGCAGTGAATCTTTGATGGATTTCAATAAATAGGTGGCAATGTAATTTCGTGGTAATAAAAATAAAAAAAAGACATTTTGTTTCCAATTTTATTACACATTTAATTAATTATATTTACAAATTCAAAATTGTCACTTAATATTTATGAGTTACAATTTAAAATATACAAGTAATAAATTACAAACCAAGAAATGAAAAGAAGAAAAAATTAATAGCCCAGTACTGATGTATATTCTTAGAAGTTACTGTTAACTTAATAACTTATCAAGGTGAAAGAAAACTGAAATTCCTCGAATTCTTTATAATAAATTTTCTAACTAATCATTGAAGTGAGCTTTTCCGTTGATACAAATATATATTTTTTTAACTTTATGCCCTATATAATATTGTTAAATTAATAGTACATTTATGGACACAAATGTAATTATTACTACATTAGGTATAATGAGTTCGAACAGATAGCGCTTGAGGTGGAGGCGTCATTTTAGAATTTGTAGAAGTTTTGTATTGTAATATAGATGAACAAGAGCATTTCCTTTCTTCCGTACTCATAAACGGGCTTCGTATCTTGCATTTGCATCTACTAATACTCCTGTGTCTCATGGATCCATTTATTGCTACCATTTCTGAAATAATAAAATAAAATTAATGTATCCAAATCATAATCCTAAATCCTCTCCATTGCCACAATGTTTATTGTTGTATTAAGTTTTGTTATTGTATTAAATGTAACGATATTTTGCTAGATATAACACAGAATAACGAAATTCTAGAGCAATATTGATGGTGCAAAATGTTTGTGCTAAAACTTTATCATATAGGCCCATCTACACAAGCTTTTGGTTATTGCAATTTTATAATTCTTAAATCAACACACATTGATTTTTGAAACTGATTAATCCCCCCTAATATTATAAAGGTGAAATTAACTCTGTCTGTCTGTGTGTCTGTTACGCTTTCACGCCTAAACCACTGAACTGATTTTAATGAAATTTTCATACAGAGATGGAGTTGACCTTGAGAAAGAATATAGGATAGTTTTTATCCCAGACTTTTGAAAGGTTCTCTTGGGTACGCGATATAACCGAACTCCATGCGGGCGAAACTGCGGACGGAAAGCTAGTGTATAATAAGGGTAATTAATTTTATAATTTTTCATTTATAATATTTGGAAATATACCTGACAACGGTATCCCTTCGCAAACACTGGAACGAGGGCAGGAACGACTTCTCTGATTTTGATTAAATCTCAGAATTCTCTCCAGCACCTACAGATATATTATAAAATCACTTAATGATGAAATTAATATTTTTCACACTATACTGAATCATTTCATATCTCGTCTACCCGTTATCACAGTTGCTAAAAAAGAACTTAAAACTCGGGAGTATGTTGTTTTTATAATAATTAAACACGCACTGTATAATATGAAAAATATTAGTTCATTTAAATGAATACTCGAGATAGCCTTTGATTTCATTACGTAATGATAATAATCATCATTTCTGTTTTTTGATTCGACTTTTGTCAACAAACGTAGAATTTAACTATCACAATATAATGACATAAGTATTTATAAAACAATAGTTTATAGTTTACCATTGAGAAGTAAAAAAAATATATGTAATGACAAATATTGTGTGGTTAATAACAATTATTATATTATAAGCAACCCTCCTCTTTGATTTTAAAAGATCTGTAGTCTTGTATCGAGTCGTTTCTATTGCTCGTGAACTGTCGCGTCAGAACAGTCGGAGCTATGTAAATTCGGTAGCGTGAGTTATTTTATAATCAAATTTTTAGATACTGTGAGGTTTCAATCATAATTGTGTATTAGTGTCACACTAAAAACCTATAACTTTAACAATTTCTAAGAATTCTTAAATTGTTCGTTTGTAATTTGTGCTTTTTAGTTATTTATTCCTGCGAGCCTAAATATACTATCATAGTAACGATTTAGTTGAATTGGTACTTTCAATATTGGAATTTGTTCAGTAAATTTAGCAGATTTGTCAGTAGGAACGTACGAACAGTAAATATGCAAACGATCTCATTTATATTCCTTCAAAAAGTGTGCTAATATGGACGTCGTACCAGCAGTATGCCACCAGTAATATGTCGAATTATGTTCAAAACCTCAAATGACTCAAAACAGAAATAAAATAAAATAAAATTTGTTTATTACAGTAACTTATACCTAGAAACAAATAGATACAGCTAGGAAGCTCCTTTTAAGAAATGGAATTATGTTGTGTTAGGAGTCAGCTTTCAGGTTATTGTAATTTATCAATTTCTACTCTATAAAACTGTGAAATAGTAATAATTTATTATTAAAAAGCGATATCCAAAGATTAATTACTTGTGAACTGTTTGTACTGAACAGTAAATATCCATTTGGTAAAAAGCTTTTTAATGTACCTCAAAGATTGAACAGCTGAAACTGTGAGGCTACATTTGGCAGGCACCTTTGTACAATTCCGTTTTATTTCCCTTTTATAGCGTTAGAAATCCTAAAGTATGTGTTAACACATTACCTACATTAACTATTTATGTTCGTTTAAATGATATTTATACAATTTTTAATCAACACTATTCATAATGCTATTTAAACATGTCATCATTTCATAAAACACAATTGATATTTGAGGCAAAATATTTTAACGTGTTGAAAACAGAGTATTATATTTTTTTTATATTTCGTAAATCGTTTTGTACCGTGAATAGCTCTTCTGTTCTGAATGGGACATGCGATTACAATATAAATAACAAACATGGCGAAACTTATTTGTAATAAATATTTTAGTAAAAATGTTTATTAAATTCGAAAATCAATTGTTGTAGCGTTTGCTTGAATTTATAAATAATTGTCGCATTATATACATATAAATTGTAATAATTAAATTATTAAGAAATATAAAATATCATCAAAAAAAATATTAATTTTGGAAAGGTTTCATGAGGAATGTAGCTTTATATCTATTTATTGATTAATTCAGATATTAAGTAACATCAAACCTGTCTAAAACCGTTTCGGTATCTGACGTTCATATAACCATATATGATTGGGTTATAACAAGAGTGTGACATAGCCAACCAATGGCTTACGAACCATACAAATGGCAATCCTGGCCATTTTCCCCATTCTTCGTCATTTTCATGTGTCGACCACAACATCTGCAAAATTCAAACTCATTAAATAAGCTAAGTCAGGACAGTCTAGGCACTAACTTTTTACTAAAACGTGATGAAAGGTCGTTGACTTGTGCTAATTGAAAGCTGTCTAGGGCCATAAAAAAGTACCAGAATTTCATATGGTTTCGAATATAAAGTTAAAGACGATCTACTTGTCTATCCTAACTTGATTAAGTTAGTTGATTGTTAATTTTTCGGAGATATAAGACATGACTAAATAAATGTATAACATTTAAACTTATAAGCAGTTAGAAACTTATCAACTTTTTGACATATATCTGTATTATTATCTTGTAACCATTTATAATTTCAAAATAAAAATTTATTGAATGAACAAGTAAAACTAATAAACTTACTAGAAATATGTTAAGTGGCAACCAACATACTGTAAAAACTGCAACCACTGTTATCATCATTTTAACCATCTGAAAAAAAAAAATAATTGAATGAAATCATACATACATGTACAATAATTAAATAAACATATATTATAAATTTTGAAAATTTGCCGAACGATCTATTTCACTTAACTTATCAACATCAAAGCAATAAATCATTAAAAATAATCTTACCACTTCTTATATGTAGGTGAAATAAAATTAATGGCAAATTAAACATCCTATTTACTTATACAATAGGAAAGTATAGGAAAATTTTAATTTACCTTAGACTTTTGAAATTATTTTAAAATTATTTTCTTTTGAGTTATTTATAACAAAGACAAAGACGCTTTTGTTTGTACGAAATTGAAATGCTTGAGTTGAATGAAGTATTAAATACGTTTTTTAATTTTCAATTTAGTTAACCTTGCTTCAATGCTGACAAATTCTTTGATTAATCCAAAGCATTGTCGTTCTGGGAACATTTATAACTTCATATGTTAAGAATAATATCTATATCAATCTAATTTTCTTGGACATCCATAATTTACAGTTGGATATTTAATTATAAAAGTTTACACTACTTTTAAGTAAATATTATGAATGATTACGACGATAATTACTTTATTGCTGTTGTTTTACCTTTAGTTTCGAGTGCTGCATTCTTGAATCCCTTATACTTTCAGCTTCTCCTGGGGGTTTAACGCCCCACACCACACAAGCAATTCGACCGTATGTACACACTAAGGCCGTGAGAGGCAACGCGAATTGCAAGATGAGTAATGCACTCGTGTACTGCTCGCTTTGTTTCACATCCTCCCATTTCTCGCTACATATATCACTGAAGTCAAGGGTAAGTTGTCTTTGTTAATGTTTAATTTGACAAATGTATGAGAAATTTAATATTATTCTTGAAACAACATTACCAGACTATTTGCTACGTCCATTGTAAAATAAATACCATTTACACTTTTACTTTACAGAAGATTCAATTAAAAACAAAACAATTGCTGTATTTAGACACTGATTATACCTAAGATCTTTTTACGAGCATATGATCGCTCCATACTGACTTATGTTTTGAATTTTATTTTCATTAAAATCGTATCTGTTACAATTAATGTAGCTCTACTAATTGGAATGCTAAGTTATATGAATGGATTACTATTAATAACATTTCAGAGGTATTTAAAAATATAACATATATTTTGATCCAAAATATTTTCAGAGAATTTTCCAGTACTTGGGATGAGATTATCACCTAAAACGAATATCGGCTTTGTGTATAAATTAATTATACTTTGATGGGTTACCGAGAAATTATTATCCTACATCACACTGGTAATATGACTTGAGTTTTCTATACTCTACATTAGTGGCAGTAACTAAAATAATAATAAAATAATTTGACAATAAAGAAACATAGTGTCAATGGTGTAATTGAATATTTTAAAAGATAATTATTTTTACGTAAGAAAAAACATAAATTATACTTACAGTTCGCAAACTTGATGCCACAATGAAGGTCTTTGTAATTGAGAGACAACCAGTATTGGCATTGCAGTCGCGAGAGCGCCTAACCAGACTACACTCATAACAAGTTTAGCTGCGGTCTTTCCTAAACGAGGTCGAAGAGGACGAGTAATCACAAAATATCTATCAATCGATATAGCGAGCAGCGTGTAGGCGCTAACCAACACTGACACAGCTTGAGAATAATTTACAACTTTACACATAACACCACCGAATGGCCAATATCGTAAGATAAGCATCGAAACGAAGGAAAATGGTACACAAAATATTGTCATCAGTATATCACCCACAGCAAGGTTTACTATAAAGTAATTTGTTACAGTTTTCATGCGAGGTGAAGATTGCACAACACAACACACCAGCCCATTGCCTAGTAATGCAACAATGAAAACTATTCCGTACATTATATACACGCATGTTTGGAAGATACTAGAGGATAAGTAATCTTCTGGATCTGGTTCTAGAATGCAAACCATTCCAAGTGGTAATGTATAATTGTTCCAAGTATCATTCACTATTTGAGATTCATTAAAGCCTGAAAGATCCTCATCTATAGTATTAGTAGTGATATTTGTATCCATCATTGTTTTCATTACAATTTTGATCCTTATAGTCTTTCAAGAGCTTCCATTTGTGATGATGTCTGAAAATATGATGTATGCATTAATGATTTGTATGCATATATTTATATTTTATATCTATTCTTATATAAGTCTTATGCAATATCTATTTCAGTAACTGACATATTTATTTTATTCATTTTTCTATATTCAAATCGGTGCAAGAAAGGAAAAATATTTTGAATGTAATTTGTTAAACTTACATGTCATAATACACTAGAATTGTCATTACCTATACAAAATGGTTCTCCTTGCCCGATAACACTAAAATATTCTATAAGTTATCTGTTACCAACACGAAGTTATAATGTATTTACATAATTAATAACTGAATCTAAATCGCTTAAATATTGAGAAATGATAAACATAATGATATAACTTTCCTTATATGAGTAAAACAATTTGATCCCTAACGTTTTCATTTAGGAAAGGAGGTAAGACATTTAAGTAATAACATTTGTGTTTACAATTACATAAATAGGACGAAAAGAAAAAATATATCATATTTATAGAAAACTTTATCTTATATAAAAGTAATAGTAACTTTTTCTATCAGTGTCAATCAGTCAGTGAGCGGAAAAATAATTTAGAACGCGTTGTGATCACAGTATAACATTCATATCGCGTAATTAGTGTTATGGCTCAAATGAAAACGCACACGACTCGTGGCACTCACAGATAGACGAAATAACGAAATTTACGAAATTTACGAAACATACTGTTCGATCTCTCCGTGTTGTAGACCAGTGTCGATGAATTGACTGCTTTGGCTGAATATCGAAAAAGCATACTACTTTTCAATCGAAAATTCACCCATCAACATATCAGATCTTTTCAAAAAGTTTTCTGTTTATTGAAATATCTACTTTCTCGATGGCTAATCTGCTTAAAATAACTAGAGATTTTATTTTTTATGACAATTAAAATTCCTTCCCGTAATAAAATATTTAAAACAAATATAAATATTTATTAATGACAAATAATAAACCGCAACAATGTAGGGAATTATATTAGCAATAACTATAATTATTGAAAATAAGTAAATAAACTAATTTCATGATGATGTAATTAATATAAAGTAGATAATGGAAATGGTATTATGTCAATTAGTTATTTATAAACCACGATGAATGTGTTAAAATCAAAATAAACTGTTTTATCAACAATATACATATATTATAAAATTTGAACATTTTTTAAAGCATACGTATAAAAAAATGGAATTAAATATTTTTTATTCCTTATTGATATTGACCTGTTGCAAAAATTTTTTTGCATATGTATTTAAATTTTCATAAAAATAGATGGAAACTCAATGTCGGTTCTGTTCAAATTTTAGATGGCTCCTAATAACTTCAGAAACAGAGACTGTTTGTTTTACGTTGGTTTTTAACAAAATAAAATTTCTAATCCTTTTGTTAATAAGACAATATTAATTATTATTAGAAATATATTAACAATAATATATTAGGAGTATATACAGTACTAAAGTTTTACATCGTTAAAAAATTAAAGGTAAGTTTTTATATTTTAAACTCAAATATTTAGTTCAAAATCATCAGTATCATTAGTCTTATTTTAAAGTTTTAGTTTAAGGGATAATACCAATTAATACTTTTGGATGGTCTTGTGTGGAAGAATGCGTTTTTAAGCATAAATGGATTTTTTATGTCGCAATCTTTAATGTAAGATTTTGAGCAGTCTTTACGTTGTGGCGAAACTCATAATTAAAAAAAATAATCTGACTAAAAAGCGGAACTTAATACGCCACCTGAAAAAACACAAAAAAAATTCAGATGGTTCCGTTAATTCTTTTTCATTAAAAGATTTCAAAATCTTTTCTAAGTATTTATAATGTTAAAATTTTAATATTGATACTTTGTACTTAAAAAAACATTGTATTGAAACTTATACAATCTCACAATAGATATAGCTTTGTAAAAATTAGATTCACTTCATCTATTTCAGTTTAATATATTAACTAATTAAAAAATAAACTCACAGTATTTATATAGCTATATACTCAGCAAAAGCTTTCAATATTGTTGACAGTATATTTTATATGAAAATCCTGAAATATAAAACCATTTTAAGAAGGATTTACGAAGTTAATAAAATTCTCTTTAAATCATTCTGAATTATACATAATCTGTATTAATGTTCGGTGGTTATGATAAAACAATTAATAATTTTAATACAAATTGTAAATTGTTAACTCGAAGACAAAAAAAGAAAACAATAAAAATGATTCTATTATTATGTTGTCATACTTTGTGTGAACAAAATTGTTTGAACTATTACGGTACATACTCGTATCTTATGAATACATACTAAAGGACTTTGGCCTGTTCAGAACTATTCATTCGTTTACTAATTCATTCTTGGAACTTACTCCGAAGGCAGTCCTAGTAGGTTATTGTCAAATTTCGTCAGATAGAGAGTGGATCTTGGACGGTGGAGGTGAACGTTTAACGCGCATTAGATAGGGGCCCCTTAAACTTATACCTGGGTTGCAAGTCTCAGGCACTGTTGAGGCTTCTCTCCCTGCAACGCGATGGACCCGGCACCCGTACGGTGAATCCATTGTATGCTAAGAAGTTTCCTTTCTTCTCTTCGTTTCCAATCATCAAAACAAGTATTTAAAAATAAATACTTACAAAAAATATGGATTCCAAATTAAGTTTAATATTATATCACAAATAAAATATGCAATCAAACTTGCACTATTTAACTCAGTTACTTTTAAATTGGAAACTCGTTATGAAGTTCATACATCGAGAATTAAAAGACATTCGAAATTATTACGGCTGTAGTAATAAATAAGTTTTTTTCAATATTTTATAATTGGGTATTTATTTACTACGAGAGAATTACTGGTTCTCATTTTGATTTTTACATCAAATTTGAAATAAAAATATTTTCTTTTCTATAAAATTAAGCAAAATTATTTTTTATATACGGGAGATAATTACTAGGAAAAATATAGTTGCAAGTGCATAATTCTATATTTACCACTGCAATAGTGGAAACGAATTAAGGTAACATATACGAAGCTCCCTTAAATGGAGTGAGGAGAGCGTGTAATGGTAAAGCCATTACATAACGAATGTATTTACTATTATAGCTTACAGAACTATTTATATGAATAGAATATTAGTGTGAAGTCATTATGTAATTCTGAAAAATGGTGTTTATCTTGTTTTAAACATATAAAGATTTTTATTATTTAGAAAGTTTTAATTTTTATTTTTACACAAAGACTCGTTAATTGAAATTGTTTCTTCATTTATTTAGTTTTGTTTTTTATTATTTCTGTTGATAAAAAATATGTACGATAAATATATACATATACGTTATTGAGTTTTTTACTTTCATGTTTTTCAGAGAATTCATGTTACATGCTAAGTTCCGCTAAGTTAATCTTTTGGAAATGTATATAAGTTTTGATTACTATCTTTATAAAAAGTATGCACCAAAAGCAACACCTAAGTTCTCTAATAAAACAATAATTATATAAGTTTTATAGGTGGTAGTGCTGTGGTAGCGCGGTAGGTGTGATTAAGTTACTGCAGCTCGAACACGGGCTGGCTCGACTGTGAAAGTAATACCCTCTCACAGAAGTTTGGCGTGAAGTAGCCTTTAATGGTTGCGTTTAGTTCGATGAGTGAGAGAGCCGGTTGCCCTTTCCGCTTTCCCTTCCTTTCCTAACCCTTCCTGTTTCCTTCCCTTTCCCACTTTTTCCTCTCCCTCTTTCATAAACAAAAGTGGTGACACATCCACAATATCTCTTATGTTACGGATGGCCATGGGCGAAGGTACTACCTCCATCAGGTAGGCCGTCTGCTTGATTGCCTCCTTTAGAAAAAAGAAATTGTTCTTAACAATTACTATTTGAGGACATATACAAATATTACATGTCATCAGCCTATCAGAGCCCACTGCTGAGCAAAGGCCTCTTTCTCACATGGAGAAGGTTTGAGCATTAATCACCACGCTTGTTCAAGACGGGTTGGTGATTTAAAACTTATTATTGTAAAATTATAAGTCCAGGTTTCCTCACGATGTTTTCCTTCAACGTCTGTCAGTGGTGTCTAAATACTCTCAGAAAATACATATGACTCGGAAAAATCACATTGGTACTTCCCGGGATCGAACCCGCGCCCTCGTGTACGAGAGGCGGGTCCTTTAAGCATTAGGCCACCACTGACTTAGAGTTACATGAGTTCCGTCTTATTGTATGAAATTGTCAGTGCAATTGATATAAGTAATTAATAATTAACAAATATTGCAATTTCAAAAATCTAGCTAACGTAAGTTAATAAGTTTTCTTAATATCGTATGATTTCCTCAACTCCCATTCGTTACAAACATTTTATCAATCACGTTGAACAATATTTCCAATTAATTTCCAGATTGAAATGAAGCCATAGCGTTAATGATATAAAAACCAGCTTGATTTTCTTTTTCCTAAAATATTATTTAAAATTATATATCACGGTTTTTATATAAGGATCAGCCATATTAAAAGCAAATAAACTATGAAAATTAGGAACGTAGTCTATATGGACTGACTAAACAATTAACAAGTCACATATATGAAATCTAATTTCCAATGAAATACATTAATAGAGTTCAGATATCAATCCAAAGTGCTTCCGAACTCAACATGGAATGTACTAAATCAAGTTTCAGTTTAATGGATGACAAATGTAGTTTTCATCATAAGTTACGGTTCAGTTATATTGATCTGGTGAAACAAATAAGTATTATCTAATAAAATGACTAAGTATAATTAAACACTCATATTTCTTAAATAAAACATTTATTCGTGAAAATTGTTTTAGACTCCTGATTGGTTTCTTGTGACATCGTTTATATAAGAAATTCAAAATTTGACTGACGCTTTGTTTTCGAATCCGAAACCACAGGAAAATTAATTTAAATTTCTGCTTAATACAGTTTTA